TGTGTTTCAACCTACATATGAAATTGATGATCATTAGCACCTGCTTGGTATAATTGGTTAATCATACACCTGACTTTTGTAAATTGATAAACAATTACAATATATATTTTTGAAAGCATTTACAGCATTTTTTCACACCTGCCTAAAACTTTTGCACAGTACTGTATATGAGATTAGCAGACTGCTGTACTGTTCTTTCTCCCGTTGTTTCTTAGGGTTGAGGACAACCCCAAGGTATAGCACCTTGAAAGGGAGCTTTTGCCATGAGTAAGTTAGAGAGATTGAAGACTTAGGCTGTTAGGAAGTAAAGCCTTCTTTGAACTCTCCTCCCGATGGCTTCTTTATGCACTATTCAGCAGCAAGCAAGTCCCTCTATACAGAGGTTCTAAGGCATACTGTGCTACCTTTACAGCTATAGGAAGAAAGGACAGCATTTACAACTGCTCCAGGAAAAATAACAGGGTGGAGAGACTTGCTCTTGAGAGCACCCTTGCTAGTTGATTCTTACTTAATCAATTGTTCAATCAGGAAGTGAGACATACAAGATCCTTCATGGAATAGAGGCCATGAAGATGACCTCTGAGCTTCCTTCTAACACATGATTCTATACAAAACTTTTGATCTAAGCTAGTGGTTTACTACTCTGGCAGCTGGGCTGGGTAAATGGGTTTTGTGTGGCATAGGCTAGCTGTTGGGATGCTTTTGTTTTCATTTTGGTCAAGTTCATATTGTTTCCCTAGAGTAATACAAAATGTTTTGCATTGGATTCTTCTGAGATGCTTCTTCAACTTTGCAGTCTAATCTAATGCCCTGGAATTTTTGTGTTTTCCCATACAAGTACTAAACCAAGTCTGACTCTGCTTAGCTTTTTGAGATCAAGCAAACATGGTTAAGTAATTACATACTTAGGAAGGTAAAGGAAACTAAATGTAGGAGACCATAAAGTTATAATTTCTTTCATTGTGATCTAAGGGCCTCCATATTTTATTAGATTCTGTGCAAACTAACAGAATCAAGCTGAAAGTGGCAGCATCCTGTTGCCATTTCTCCTGGCCCTGGTTTTGCTCCAGAACAGAATTATTAGGCAAAAAAGGCAAAGAATTTCATTAGGCATGAAAGCCGGCTGGTTGACTTTGGGCCAGCCACTCTTTCTCAGCCCAACTCACCTCACCAGGTTGTTGTTGGGGGGAAAATAGGAGGAGGAAGGGGTATTAAGTATGTTCACCATCTTGAATTATTTATAAAAATAATAAAGGTGGGATAAAAAACCTAAAAAACAAAAGCTGGCTTTTTGATCTAGAAATCTTGGTGGGCATGGGAATGGCCAGTGGCTTCTAGTGATACTTTTCACAAAGCACATAGGTACACGATTCATGTACATGCTCACTCCAATTTAAATACAAGGATGTTCATGATAAACACCGATGCTTTCTTCCTCCTGTTTCTTGCACTTCACTTTTTAGAAATTAAGCAGTCTCTTTCTCTCTTGAAACTAGTGTAAAATTAAAGACACAGCCTGTCTCACTAAAAAAAAATCCTCCTCAAATTGCATGTTTTTTTTCTATCAACAAAAATATTAAATAAGGAGTATTCCTCAAGATATTCCCCTTTTTATCCACATCTCTGAACTTCACAGTAAAATAGAAGGATAATCCTTTTCGCTAAGCAGAAATAAGCTAATTGTCTTGCATATACAATGGGTTTTATCTTTAAAAGCCAAAATATTCAGTCACATCTCCTCTAGTGACATCACACATCCCATTCATGCTTCTTCCAGCACCTGAAAGCTAAATTTTAAAAAGTGCAGAGGGACAAATCACTAGAGTCCCATGTGAGACAGGATAGTAATCTCAATTACAGTACAACCTGTCTTTTTAAAAATTGTTTTAACAACACAAACACGTGCACCATGAAAAAAAAACACGGGTATATGAAACATCAGCTCACATTTTAAACACAGCATTACCCCTTGACCACATGGAATAAAATTGGACAATCTTTCCATAATATTGATATAGAGCCAGTTCATGAATCAAGAATGAATGTATCTTCAATCCAGGACTGTAAATCCAGGGTGGGACTCTCTCCAATGTTTTTTTTCATTTCAACCTGTGCTCAGTAAATCCATAATTCTTCATGTATCAATAAATTCCAACTTTAGGAATGTAATTCAGAATTACATTACATATGGATTTGACTTAAGATGTAAATAACCAATACCTTAATCTCTTTGCTTACTGTTTGCTTATTATATTGTACCGCACACCTTTTCTGGATTACATCCTTTGAAGGCTTACGAGTACATCTTTCAAACTGGGGTAGCCATTTTCACCAACTGTAAACAGAGACTTGCACATGCACACGCGTGTCGGCCCCTGAAACAATGCTGACGACCGTCCTAACACAAAGCCAACCCCTCCGTTAGCAGCGCCACGGAAGGGGCGAACGCCCAAAGCTAATTTCAGAACACTTTGGTCGTCTGCACGGACTCCTTCGGGAGCCCTTCAGAGCCAGAAAAACGGACGAGCTGCAGCCCCTGTTAGAAAGCCAACTGAAACCTCCGTCAGCGCTGCCTCCGGCATGCCACGTCCCTCAGGCTCGCCCAGCCGCGGCTTCCTCTTCCCGCTCTGCCTCCACAGAGCTGCTTCGCCATGTCCCTTTCTGCCATCCCCCAAACCACCATGAACTTCCCTCCTTATCTCTAAAAGTCTTTACCAGTGACAACCACAAGCCCAGCGAAACCCGCGGCAGAGGCTTCACCCGGAACTCCAAGCCGGCTCCCCCCATGCCGCGCCGAAGGAGACGAAGCCATGGGCGGCGCATGCGCACCCCCGGCCAAAGGGCCACTTCAGCGACTACCGAAAGCAACAACCGTGACTACAGCTGTTCGAGCCGCTTCCTACGTCAACTGGGCAAGCTCTCGGAGCACGAGTCCACAGAGCCGATTGAGGCTCCACGGCTACCGTAGTGCAGCTGCGGTAGGCGGGGCTTACAACCGCGCGTGTGTGGAGCCCGTGGAACTTGGAGACTGTGGGGATGCGCGCTTGTTGTCTGGTGCCTTCTAGCGTCGCCGCAGATGATGCTGGCGTGGGCGACGGAGCGGGTGGGCCTTGTATCCTTTCATGAGCCTTGTTGGCTTTTGCTCGCCTTCCTTCAGGAGCACCGATATTAAAGGCCCAGCTCGAAGCACGCTTAGGGAGGGAGCGGCTCTTGGAACTTGGTGGGGCGATTTCTTTCTCAGTGAGTAAACAGAGGTAGGATCGCCCGGCACGCAAGACTAGCGTATCGTTGGCCAGTTTGCGGCGCAGATGATTGATTGATTGATTATGTGCCATCAAGTCGGTGTCGACTCTTAGCGACCACATAGACAGATTTTCTCCATGACGATCTGTTCCCAGTCTGGTCCCTCAGGTCTTCCAATAGTGCACCCATTGCCACTATAATTGAGTCCCTCCATCTTTCTGCTGATTATCCTCTTCTCTCTCCTGTACCTACAAAGATAAGAATCGTGCAAGCCATGGTATTCCCTGTGACACTCTTTGGAAGCAAAAGTTGGACTTTGAAGAAACTTGGTAGGAAGAGTATTGATGCCTTTGCATTTTGGTTTTGAAGACTCCTGAGAATACCATGGACAGCCATGGTACAGTGGATAGACTCAGTTACAATGGCAACGAGTGCACTGTTGGGAGACTTGAAAGAACAGGTTAGGGATAGATCGTCATGGAGAAAACCTATGTAGTCGCTAGGAGTCAAAAACGACTTGGTGACACATAATCATTTGTGCCTGCAGTGAGAAGTCTGGGTTGATTTGTTTGATGATCCATTGGTTTGTTTTCTTGGTTGTCCATGGTGTTCTCAGGAGTGGTCTCCAACACCAAAGTTCAAAAAGCTTCAAATATCGTGCTTCTTCAACATTTAAAATCAGATGAAATGTTGTGCGAATCCAGGAAATTGAGAGAGCTCCTTTAACCAGAAGCTAGAAGGTGCTATACAAACACAACCTTAGATTTAGCTTGACCTTTATTCCCCTTGACCTAATTTTTTCTAGATCTAAAGCCCTTCATAGTGGGTTTTAATGAGCCCCCAGCATCTCAGTTGTTCTCCACAGTATGTTCATAGTCTGCTCTTTTCCCATTCCTGATTTCGCTCTGCTTCATCAGTACTAGGTAAGCTGTGGTAATTTTCCATCCTAGACATTACCAGTAGTCTATACCAGTGTTTCTCAACCTTGGCCACTTGAAGATGTGGCTGGCTGGGGAATTCTGGGAGTTGAAGTCCACACATCTTCAGGTGGCAAGGTTGAGAAACACCGGTCTATACTATTGTCCCTGTGATTCAGACCATATGCTGTCTGTAAGGATGTAGATACTTGTTATATAAGAGTTCAAAAGGATTATGAACTCATGTAGGGTTCAAAAATGATTATGAACTTGGCTTACCAGGGGATGGACCTAATGGGCTTTAAAAAAACAGCCTGACATATTCTGTTTATCAATATCTGGTGCATATATGGTGGGGAAGATGAAAATAGGTTTATTCTTGTTAAGCTTGCTTTTTAAGTTTTTGAGCTAAATAGGAAAAAAATTCTAAAACAAGGATGGGAACACGTGGCACTTCAAAGGTTTTTGGGCCAGAAAATTCCATATCCATATCCATGACCTTTGATCATGTTGTTAGGGAGTGGTAGAAGCTAGTACCTACCAACTTCCAAAGATACATTTGTCCTTTTATATTTTATATCCAGATATTGTATTGTATGTCAGTTGTAGAACTGTCTTCCAAAGGATACTGTCTATATTGCTCTATTCAGATATTAGTTCAGGATTCTAGATCTTTATTCTGTTTAATGTTGAGATAACTGGATTTTTAAAAGTTAAAAATAATTGAAAAAATCAAAATGGGAATGAAATAATATAAATTGTCTTTTGAAGCAGTCATAGAGAATACAGAACTATATGAACCATTAGGTTGGCCATTGTGACATACTTAGATTTGTCTCATGACTCATACACAAGTGCATATACCTGTATACTTCATATATTTTCAATTACAAATACTTTAATACCGATGAAGTGAAATGTTCAGTAAATGTTTTCATTCTAATGCCATCTCTACTTTGTCAGATTTTGTTTCTCGCTTATTGTTGTTTCAGGTTTCAGACTATGAAGATTAACCAAAATACTGTATTGCAGGGGAAGAGGGTAACCCTAGTACCATACACTCCTGCTCATGTACCCAGGTGTGCAATAGAAAACTTAGTTTGGGGTGTTGTGGGGAGATGTTGATTTGAGAACTCTGAAAGGGTATTTATTTTACAAGTTTAGGGTAGTAGAGGTAGAACAACAAATTATTCCCAATATGTTTGGATTTGAAATATGTGCACAGAATCATTGGGCACATAGAGAAAACTTTATATTAATGTTTTGTTGATCAAAATCATCCATGAGGAGTGTTTTTTGCTCGAAGAATGACTGGTACAGCTATAGAGCATATGTAGCTGATTTCTTTGCATATTTATTCAGATTCAAAGACAAACATGTTATTTGGAGTGTTTGTTCACATTGCATCTGTAGGCAATTCCTTAAAGAAGGTGCATCTTTTCTGGGATCAACATGCAATCACAGAAAAATATAAGTTTGAATTAAGGTGTTTCAGACAGGTGCAGCATACATACACACTCTGAATCATCTTATTCCCTTCAGATATAGATTGCTGCACAGGCCAAGTAAGCTCCAATATGTTCAGTGGTGCTTACTCCAAAATTAATCTACACTGAATTTCATTGTTGATCTTAAAATTTGGAGATTAGAATTATAAGACTGAGAATTCTAGTTTAGATGCCTATTTATTATATGCCATTACAACAGAAGAAAGGTCTGAAGTTCATTCTGAATGGGGGTTGGGCTTCCAACTATCAGAGGAAGATCCCCTGTGTGAAAGATTTTCTCCAGATGAAGTCTTTTTTCCCCCTTTTCTTATAAAAGTGAATGGCAGCTAATAGACTGAGGATCAAAAGGGGCTGAACCCAGCTCTTAAGAAATGAGCTCTGCATACCTGCTTAGTACCTGTCCTGAATTGTATTTCATGCTAACTCTAGAGCAGAGACAGGAAACCCAAGGATCATATGCCAAATGCAGCCATTAGCCCTATTTTCTCCATTGCTCCAAGGTCGTGCTGTAAAATTCAGCAAAATGCCAGTTTCAGTGGTAAATGTTTAGGGGGCATTTTTTGTAAAAATAAGAAAGAAAAGATGCAGCATAATATATTCAGTCTCTCTCCTCTGGTCATAGCCAGAAACCCAGTCTCTTAATGTCAAATAAATAAGTTCAACCTCTAACTGGAAGAAAGTGCTAGTGTGCAGGATTTGAGATGGCAGCTCTTAATCTGAATGGTGGCCTGCTAAAATGCCTATGTGAGTTACATTGTATCACTAACATGGGTTCATCAAGAGGTTCTTATTTAACTTTGCACCAGTTGACAGTGGATAATATTCTAAAGAAGCCTACATACTCTTTCTGGATTTTCTGATCAGGTACCATGAGTGGATGAAGTCTGAAGAACTGCAGCGTCTGACTGCATCTGAACCACTAAGCCTCGAACAGGAATACGAGATGCAGTGCAGTTGGCGGGAAGATACAGACAGTGAGATTTCTGAATATTTGGCAGGACTTGGAAATGGACAGTCTACAGATACGTTGGGTGGTTCATTTCACACATAGTTCAAAGTGGCACTTTCAAACCATTATGCTGAATTATTACTCCATGTTACAGTTTAAAATTTCATAATGTTCAGTTCCAGAAGTTATGTTTTTTATTTTAGCTCTATTCAATCATTGTGATCAAATGCACAGGGATACTATTAGATAATAGAAAATCTGATTTAAAGGGTTTATATATATTGTGGGGCATGGAAAATTCTGTTACACTTGGTGAAAGGTTTTAACCGTGATATCCTTTTACACCACTTGTTTGGATTGCAGTTAGGAAACATGATATTAATATTGATTCCAGTTCTTCTTGGAAGAGCAGTCTCAAAATGAGGTGCTAGGACATTTTTATTTTACCTAGTGCTGTTAATCCATGGACAGTGTTAATCTACACACAGGCTTCTGTCTTGCATGCTTTTAAAATTTCCCTGAAATCCTTCAAGGAAGTAATCCTGAAGTTCACACTGAAATGCAGTCATTATGAGGATCTGTCTATTATTTCTGCATACCTACTTATTCCAGGATGTATTTAGAATTTGTGATTCAGGATCTGAAGGCATTTTTGGGTAAATGTAAGAGAACAAGACAATGGAATTACAGTTTGGAAAAGTGAATAGTTCTTTTATGGAAATTTACAACTGTTCTTAAATGAGGTTCCACTCCTGTCAAAAAACTAAGTGCACAGGCGTTCACTTGTGGGTGGCGTTCGGCTAGACTTTTATAATACACGATACATGATGTTACAGTCTTTGGAAAGAGATCTCAACTGTACACACTTGAAAATCAACAACAAAAGCCTTTTTCCAGATTTTGTGGTCAGTGAAATTGGAATCTGCAAGCTAGAAATCTTTTCCGTAATATTGCACAGTCCTGGACTGAATTACCATCAGAAGTCTGTCAGTCTTTCTTTAGAAAAGTTGTACAGACCAACTGTTTTCTTTGGCTTTTTAAAATCATTTTTATTAAGCTACAATTGTGTCTTAGATTTTATTGTAAGGACTGGATATTTCTTTTTATATTTGATGCCAGTTGATTGCAGTAATACAGAAAAATGTTATAAATTGCCCTTAAAAAGTATTTAAGGTATATATTTATATAAGGTGTGAAATCTTTAATTCAGTTTTCTCTGCCTGCAAAATGTGGAGTGGGGTGTTTTTTTGTGCTGGTAAGAGAGTAGAACAGTGGCCAAAGCTAGATATTATTGCATCTAGTAATCATAGGTTTGATTTTATACTTTATGCTGCTTCTTGATACCTTATGCTGCTTCTGCTTGATTTTATACTTTATGCTGCTTCTTCCAGGGGTTCATAATAATCTTTATTGATTCTGCTGCTTTTTTTTACATTTTCCCAGAATGCACGTTTATAATACTTGATGCTGAAAAGTGGTCTAGGCAGAAAGCCACAGAAGAAGATTGTATGGTTGGAGATGTGAACTTGTTCCTTACCAATTCTGAAGAACCAACTGTGGGAGAGATAGAAATCATGATTGCAGGTCATCTAATTGTTTTATGTATATTGCCCTGCCTTCCAGTATTTCTTTTGTTTCTATATCATTCTTTTTCCAAGAAGAGCCAAGAAGATTTACAGGACCAAAAAGAGAGAGAGAGAGAGAGAGAGAGAGAGAGAG